AGTCTCCTGCCTCAGCCTCCCAAGTAGCTGGGACCACAGGCGCCTGCCACAATGCCCGGCTATTTTTTTGGCTGCAGCCGTCATTGTTGTTTTGGTGGCCCGGGCTGGATTCGAACCCGCCACCTTAGGTGTATGTGGCTGGTGCCTTAGCCACTTGAGCCACAGGCACCAAGCCCCACTGTTTCTCTTGAAGACAGAAAGGATGATTTCACTTTACATAAAGTTCAGTCTTCCTCATGGAGGCATCAGCTCCGGAGACCTGACAGGACCACAGAATGGGAGTGAACTTCCAAAGAAAATGCTGGTGACTTTCCCAACTTCATTCCCCAAACAAACGGGACAGTTTCTGGTTTACCATTGGTGTGTTTATTACATGATTAAAGTTCAAATAAAAAAATAAAAACCAAACTCTTGGCAGGGAGGCTAGAGCCAGAATCTGGAAGTACTGCCTCCAGGCTCCCTCCCAACCCCAGTTCCACTAACTCAGCTTGACTCGATCAAGTTCTTCATCAAGACTTGTATCTGTGCCCTGGACATCTCTGCTGCTCTCACTGGTGACTGAGTCCTGGGTCCCTGGCACTGGGGCTTTGGTGAGGGCCCCATATACACCCATGGCCTGAGGAGAGAAAAAGAGAGCCATGAGGACACCTAGTAGAAGGTACAACCCAACCTACTAATGGCTAAAAGGAAAAAGGTGGCACTGGAGCCAATGAATTCGGTCTTCCTTTCTTCTTTCTCAAGCCTCTGTCTTAAGAATGTATTTTAAGGGCAGCGCCTGTCGCTCACTGAGTAGGATGCTGGCCCCATATACCGAGGATGGTGGATCAAACCTGGCCCCAGCCAAATCGTAACAAAAAAATAGCCAGGCGTTGTGGCAGGCACCTGTGGTCCTAGCTACTTGGGAGGCTGAGGCAAGAGAATCACCTAAGCCCAAGAGCTGGAGGTTGTAGTGAGCTGTGGTGCCACGAATCTACCGAGGGTGACAAAGTGAGACTCTGTTTCTTAAAAAAAAAAAAAAAAAAA